CGCGACATTACGATCGCGTTATTTCTAGAATGTTTAAGATCGTTCGTGGCTGGTTCGCTCATTCAAAGATCGTCTGGCCCACATAGCCGGTTGTTTACAGCACGATTTCTCGCGCTGTACCGGCGCGGCGCATCGCACGACCGACGTTCTAGTGCAAAGACCTCCGGTGCACAGGACGATGCACCCTCGGCCTTGTCCCAGCTTCCAAGCGCTAACCCTCCTCGCAATCGCCATTCAACACGGTTTCTTGGGAATTTTTAACCGATTTAATCGTTCTGTAATATCTTACGACCGTTGTATAATAAATATTTCTCGCTGGCTACGTGGTTCGACGATTTAATTCCTTTATGAATCAAGAGTTCGTGTTGCCTCCAGTTCTTTATTTGTTCTCATTGTTTCGTTAGAAAGCAAACGACCTGATTAAGAAGTCAAATTACCACTAAACGAATGGATAGCCGGTCTAATGGCAAACGAATAAAATTAAAAGCTTTTCTACGTTTATAACGCTTCGATTCAAAGTGCAAGAAGTACACGTTTAAACGCCGCGGTATAGAAGAAACACTTCTTTACATTAGTACAACACGACGATCAATTTGTCACTGATCATTTCCCTGTTTCTACTTTCACCTTTCTAAGTTTTCAGGACAGAAAAAAAATAAAAAATAAAAAATGAAAAAAGCTCCGCTCCCCAGCGGCTTAAACCCAAAAATTGTATCATACGACGAAAAATGTAAAGCGCCGACACATAATACAGCATGACTATGTCGTACCGCAGCGTATCGGTACCTCTGCCTAACGTACCATTGCAAAAATTCACCGTCTATCGTGAATATGTACCTAAAACTGTATTCTTGGGCTCAATAAACCTTAAATCTCCTTAAAAAAAACTTTCACCGTTCTACGCACACCAGCACGCAATTTCCAAACCACATCTCCATACAGAAAGATCGATGACACGTTGACTGTCCGGTGGTCATCGACGACCCACGTTACTAGATCTTCCGCAATGATCGCGATAAGATTAATCGATTGAAAAATGCTTAGCAATATGAACTACTCGAACTATCGTACATCGTCGGAAAAACGCGCACGAATACGATATAATGTTTCGCAAAAATGAAACGTTTCCACCTGGTGTATATATTTTGATTTTTCGCGGCGCTCTGGGTAAAGTATAGGCAAAATTCGCGTGACAACGTGTTAACAACCTAACGTTTCTTCTTTACTACTTCTATTCTTTTCTTAAGGAAGACAAAGAATCTTTGCAGCAGCGTGCCGTCGAATTAGCTCCACGGAATACGTCAATGTTTTCTTACAAAGGCAATTTCGCGGCGGCATGTGAACCGGGCTTAAGGCGATTCTCCGACAGAGTGGAGGGACGCGGCCGTGGCAAAAGTGCAACGCTCCGGCAAGGTTCACTGTACACTCGCCGCGCGATGCCACTGACCCATTAATACATATAAAGCTCGGCTGCACGCCGCAATTTGCATCGGCCGATAGCCAGCATTTGAATTGCTAAGCCTCCTTATGCAAGTATAATACAGTCGCGGTTTCGGTAACGCTTGATCGTTACCAAAGTGGCCGACAGCCTCCTTTTTCCACCTAGACACGCCTCTATCTTTCTCACTTTATTCTCTTGCCCTGATGCAACCCGTGCAGTATACCACCCTCTGTCCATCGAACTCTAACGGTAAAAGGAACAGCTATTCCTTGGTTGCTTTTTCTCATTCTTTCCGCGGCAGACGCGATCGATCTTGCAACTCGCGAATCGAATGGAAACCTTCGATTTCTTCTCTTAAGACGATTGTCCTGATTCTAAAACTGAAGCCTGTTGTCTGAGAAGAGTGGATTATTTCGTTGGTTTGCATGCTATTACGTTTTGAATGTGCTGAAATAATTACTTTAAGAGAAACTCTACATCTTTACCTTTGTATATCTGTGACCTGGACACCGCTGTTACGGAAAGAATAGAATTTAGGGAAAGAAAAAGTTCGAAGTAAGCAGAGGTTCGTATTATTGTGGCCTTGAATAGAAATTACGTTTTGGGTTACAAGGTCTAGAAATAGAAGAACTATAAGTAGATTTCTATTGCTGTTTCTTGTAGCCTTCAGCTACGGCTACGAGGTTAACTTTTTGGTAATGTGCCTTGCCATAAATATATGGACGTGCTATCATAGCTTCTTATAGCTATTGTATTGTATTGTAACATTGTAAGAGTGAGGATCTGGATCAGCATGCACTATACTTATACCTATAACTATACTTATTTCAATATATTTTTCTATTACAAATTCGTCCACTCGTTCTTCTATCGGTCAACCTCAACAGAATGTAACTGATTATTTGTTTATGGAGCATGTTCCTTTTTTGTGTGAAAATTAACACGAAATTCCTGATTTTCTTACTAGGATACACGACGATGAACGATAGTGTCGATACGGTCTGAGATACGTTCGATAGAGGTTCTAATACTTTTACCGTATACAATTTTCCGAAGTTTCGTATAAAAAGAATTTATTTAAAAAATTATTTACGTACTTTCTAAAACGTTAAAAAATTTTATTAAAAATCCGCTCATCGAAAGCGTCTAAAGTTAGTTAGAATTAGGATCCAAACATTTCACGAATTTTTCAATCCAGATTTTCCGATTCCTTTACGATTATACGATCTTCCAAAGTTTCATGTAAAAAAAAAAAAGTAGAAATCATTCGCGAATTATTTATTTCTTCGATCATCCGTGTTATTATTCCCATTTCGTAAAACGTTGCTTAAAAATTCGACTAAAAATCCACTCGTCTAAATCGATGCTAAGTATAACCAATCGATACAATTTATTATCGTAATCAGACAAAATGTAAACTAAAGTCTACAAAAATCCCACGTTGCTCCGATCTTCCAGTTCATTGTTCTCGATTCCTTTATCTAAAAATTTCCCGAGCTTTATATAAAAGGGATAGTGGTCATTCGTGCGACTCAGGGCAAACGGTGCGCACTTTGTGCGTACTTTGTTTGATATGTCCGATATTATCGAATTATCGGCGAGAGATCGAGCTTGAACTGGTCGATCCTTAGGCATCTGGTCCGGTCTATCGGGCAGGTGCTCGCAAAAAGGGACTGGCGTCGCGGACAGTCAGTGAAGGGAGGGAAAGGAAGAAAGGAAGGAGACAGCTCAGTCGTTGTAAGGTCCTCGACCTTCGACGTTAAGGGCAGGGACCCCATCTAGGGTGCACAGGCCGCCCTTTTGCCTCGCCTTCTTCCTCCGCGTACGCTTTCGCGTGTACTTTCCATCGGCTCGAACGAATCTTCGTTCTGTGACGTAGGTCATGAATATAAGAGTCATCGAAGAAGCAAGGATAAGTGCCGATTAGAACGATACTTTTTCTGCATCTCAGTAATATTTAATAGAACTAAATTGGTCCTCCATTCTTGGCTCGATTCGGTTTTCAAAGCGGCAAGTTTCGAAACGTCTTGCAATTTTCTTAGCGAGGTATATATTTAAGAATTTGAGTCGGTAGAGATTTATATGCGAGATTTATTTTATATATAAAGGTTTGTTAACGAAACGTACGTTTGAAAAAAAATGTAGTTTAAGGTTCTCGAACATTTAGATTGTTCGATTCAGACTATTTAGGGTATTTATCGTTCGCGATAAAAGCAGCTTCAGTTGTCATATAATCGAAGTATCATACGTATAGAGTGACAGACCAGTCAACACTTATCATATGCGTAAGATACAGTTACTTGCGCTGTATACCAATTTACTGATATTTTTTAATATCTCGTAGCTGTTATCTGATTCGTTTCGAGTTTGATCGATATAATCGCGGCAATCGTGTCTCGTTACAGTACTAATGCTCATTCAAAGCGTTTCGTGTAACACGTACAATATGGACATAAACGATTTCTATGATAAATGTTCCAGCACATTTGTAATCCAATGTACGCACGGTAGAATTCCATTTATCTGAGCTTCTCGAGGGGACAAACAATTCATAACAGTTTATAATTGGAGTTCACGTAATGAGAGTTCACCAATTTTCCTCACAATCTGTCATTTTTCGTTCGCGTAATAATTCACGTTCAGATAAGCGAATTTTACCAGCGAAAGTTCTGTTAATTGGACATTAGGTAAAATTTCGTTGCGACAAACGCAGTTCCCAATTGCTATCGCTCGCTCGAACGTAACATTGGATCCTCGGCCTAAAACCCAATCCGACGAGATAAATTCCAAACTTCAAAATTATTCTGATAACGTGCAATCTTTCCATCTGATAGTTATTGGTTTATGACGTCCTTGCGTGTCAACTCGAATCGATAGGATACAGTCGAAGGTATCGTAGGGTCTTCGACCTCGTGGCGAGCGGTGAAGGTCCGCGGATAACCTACTCCTTGGTTAGTGCACTCGCTTACGTCGCTGACCGGGACGTCGATCCCTCGAAGAAGGCGAAGGACCTCCGTGAAATCCTCGGAATTGCGAAATAGTGGACCAGGGTGTTCGCACGATACGATGTAAAAACAGGGGAGAGACCAATCGCATCTCTCGGACGTTTTCTTTTTTTTTTCACGCTTCAACTGAATGCATTGTACGGTGAAACTGGTAGAATGTGTGTTTCGCGTGGAACTTTGAGAAATGCGTAAGAAAAGCAGTAAGAATACTCGAACGACGCCTGAATGTGCTTGTTGCAACGCGTTATAATATGTTGTATTAAACATAAACAGGGTGGTTGGTAATTGGTGGTGCAAGAGGAAAGGGGGCGATTCTACGCGAAAAAAGAAGTCGGAAATATGAAATAAACATTTTTCGTTCGAGGCTTTGTTTTCGAGAAAATCGACTTTGAATTTTCGCTCGGTACGCGTGCATTTTATCGCGTCTCGTTATAACGGATCTCACTGTAGATTTAAAAAAAAATAAAAAAAAATGTTTATTCTGTATTTTCGACTTATTTTTTCGCGCAGAATCACCCCCTTTCCGCTTGTACCACCAGTTACCACCACCCTGTATAATTCTAGATTCTATGAGTTCTTTTTTTTTACAGACGATCGATAATATTGCTAATTATGTTGGTGGACCACCCGCTGCAGATAGCGGAGAAAAGGAACATGTATTAGTATGTCTAAAAATCGAAATTGGTGGACGAAAAGGAGTTATGCTCCTTGATCCTGGATATCATGTAGCTCGAGTAATTACTGTGATGGAGGATAAGTTATACCCACATACGGGCTGGTTTATTCAATCTGATGAACCAGATTGCAAAAAAGAGTACAATTACTTTCTATGCACTAATGATCCTGATTACATTGAATGGCATGAGAGAAAAACTCGATCTGGTACCCTAGAGAGAACACAAGTTGCTCTTATATACGTGGCAAGGCCTTATTTAACTGCCATTGATGTTACTGAACGCAGAAATTTAGTTTATAACTTCAGGAGCCTTCTTGCAAGAGATACTAAAGGTCATGTTACAGCTGGTATATATTTTCCTGTTGTGCTAGATATAAACAATGCACAAACCTTTTCAATTTTTTATCAAACTAACAATGGCAAAAAACGAATTAAAATGGCATTCAACAAATTCTGCAGTTCACCGAAGGTACGTTTTACATTCATATACAGATTAATGTTAGACGATTGTAAATAATTAATTTTAAATCACCTTATTCAGATGCCTGGTGCCGAAGAAAAAGAAGTCATTGCTGAATGTGCTCGGCAATTAGGTCTCTCGCAAGTTACCCTAGAGGATCTATTATGTACTCTTGCAACAGTTATGAGTGACTCAGCCTTCGTGGCTCAACTCCTGGCTATTAATTCAAGAATCAACACTTTAGCAGAGGACAATTAACAGAAGTCAATCTGCCCTGTGTGGTGCAGACAATATATAATGTATCATTTTTTTTGCCGGCTTTCCTCTTACGTTCTTTTTATTTTGTTGATGGTTATCTTAATAGCTCTCCTATGTACTACAGATATTAATTTTATTCTGATTATAAAATAGGGTATAATATTTTTTAATGAACTTTAGTAAAACTTGTGTATTTAATGCATTGTTGTTAACAGTTCGATGAAAATATTAATGTATGTATTAATAATTTTTGAAGATTGTTTTCAAAATTCAATAATAGCATATATTTACACCATTCTTTATTATTGCTTATATAAATATTTAATCGTAGGTCTTGCCAACCACCCTGTATATTAAACATGAAAATTCTGCGATTGAGATAAGAATGAGAGTTTGGAAAGAACTTGGTTTTAAATATCGCTCGCAATACGTTTTCTTCTCTTTTTAAATCTCCAACAATTGGCTTTTATGGTCTTACTTTAAACTATGGAGAAATGTAGTAACGCGCGAGCGAATGTTAATGCCGTGTTACGATGAAATCAAAGCCGCGTTAAGTACCACGTTTAAGTTTTCCAAGGTTTTGTGTCCAATTTCTTTTATTTTGAGATGTAAATTCGTACATACACTTGCACGTAGATGCACACGTATTTGGATTATTAAAATAGATATTCGAAAGGAAACTGGCTAGGGTTAGGTTATCGTAGGCATCGGATTTGTACTGTGGATTTTGAGGAAGAAGAGCGCGCATTAAGAGGGGAGATCGATAAAAGTAACGTAGCGTCAAAAACTTGGGCAACCGTACCATTTGGTCGAAATGAGACCAGCACTCTGCAAGTAATTTCCCAACAGGGCTATTCCGAAGGATTCTGGAAATTCGGTAGAATTTTACACAGGATGCGTTTCGATTACGATGTAAGTAATCGTTTCATTGGTGTCGTAAAGATTGTGCAACGAGATTTTTTATAATTACAAAGTTCTTCATTTTTACGATTATTTCATAGCCGATATAAATGGGAAACAGCTCCTTCCTTTTTTTATTCCTATATTTTCCAACGTACTTTTTTATTTCTCAGTTTCATTTCGATCTGAAAAATGCATATTTTCTATCCAAAACCACCAAACGTTTCGTTTCTCTTTTTATTATACTTATAACTCTTTTATTTCGATACAAAATAGGAAGTTTACACTTTATACTAGAAAGCTGGAAAATTGCATAAAGCGGTAAAAAAGTTTAACACTTCGTTTACTTCGACGTTTCTCTTACAAAAGATCTCTATATAAAAGCAAGAATTACATTCGTTAATCTCGAATAGAAATAACAATCTCGGAAGAAATCGTTAACGATTTCAACGAAAACTATAAAACAACTACTAAATACCTTTCACCACATCAAACATTACGTTAAATACTTTCCACCTTCCGTTCGTTGTAAAATAACCACCAAACACAATGTCCACCGTGATAAAAAAATTGTAAAAGAATTTTCACCCCGATAAAAGCGAAAACTGCATCTACCACAGATTCGCTTCCAAACAAACTACGAGCAATTTCTATGATAATCCTTTCACCTTAAAACGACCAAATGCATCAGATCGATTCAAATTTCCCTCCTAATAATGAAATTACCCACGAGGATCAGAAATAAAACGAAATTCGTATCGTCGCAGTACAAGCTATTATTTATTAGAACGTGACAAATTTCGCATGAAATAAGACGGCACGAAATTTTAAGTTTCGTAGGCTGTCAAATTTTCCGGCGGTGCGTCCCTGGAGAAAAGCCGAAGATGCGGGTTTCTGACAAATTCGATCGTGGGCGACCTTCAGACGAGAAATTGCGGCAGGCCTAGGAGCAATCTAAGGGCTGGTGGAGGCTATTCGTGCGATTTCTTTTCAGTGGCGTTGCAGCCGGAACGGTTGTCGATCGGTCGAGACACGGAGGGTGGAAAGTTGAAACGCAACCCTCGGTGGGCGTTGCAAGGGTAGTTTAGTGGCGGTCGTCATGGAAACGGC